ATCCAAGGTCTATAGAACATAAGGTTACCCAATACCGATTCTCCTCCTCTGAGAGGCAAGGTGGGTCAGTGACGTAGCTGGTTCTATGAACAACACAACACGATGCGAGGTTTAAATATTTTATATAGACTGTACCACAGTATAGGCACATATAGGCTATCTTTTATTCTGACTGTATCGAACCAGTGACGTCAATTTGCGGGGTAATAATCGATACTACAGAGGCATAGGGAATGAGGTAACCTTATGTTCTATAAACCTTGATATAAGACCTCAATGCATATAACCTCCATTACTAACATAACCTACATAACCCATATTTAAATATATTTAGTCTGATGTTGTTATTGCTTGATATATCGACTGAATGCTATTTTATGACTATTTTATATACGCCTTTACCCCCAAAAATCTTATTGCTACCTTTAGAATTTACAAATAGACTTATTATCAGAGATGATTTTTTAGTTATCTATGCTACTATTCACCAAGAATATTGAATTCACGAAAAACATGAAACTACCAGATCTTTAACAATACTCGATAATACCACGAAATTAACAGTTAATAAGATTTATTCATTTCATCCCGTGTTTACCAATCTACGAAAAATATATGAATGTCAAAATCTTTTAGAGTTAAATTAAGCAAGATGGAAATGTGAAATATTCATCAAATAAAAGGAGAGTTTTCGTAATATATTGAGCAATACCACGAATTGCACAGCAGCAGATCAGCCCATGCTAGTCGAGATGTGTTGCAAAATACGACTACGTGAATATTGTCGTGTGTACAATGAAGCACCGCTACATAAGAATAACATCAATTGATGGGATAAGCAGTTGAAAACTTTCGACAGTTTGATAGGCAAATTTGTTTGATCTGCATTGAAATTGTGTAAAATTAGGAGAGCTTTCCTTTTATTTGGTGAAGATTTCACGTTTCCATCTTGCTTTGTTGCTTTTCTGTGACCAGTCAAAAGTGCACCATGACTTTACGGACATATTGTATTTTGTCGGCCTTTTGTCAAAAAATTAATTATAATGAATATTTTAGTTTTAAATCTCGTAAACTTTTAAAAAATATCTATTTTGCACCATTATCTTTTCTACATTCTCCTTTTATTATCTTTTTCCTTCCGATTACTAAACTCATTTTTGGTCTTGTTACAAAAAAAATCATCTTGTCTTATTCCTTTTATTTTTTTCTGCCTCTTGTTTCGCCTTTTTCCTTTTTAATTTTCGTTTTCTGATTTCTAAAAATACAACAAAATGACAATACATCAAACTCTAATATTAACTTAAATAACTTACTTTCAGCTCTTGCAATCGCAGCTTTCCTCTTTAAACGTTCTTCCATTGCTATCCTATATTTCGCCTGACGTTTCTCTACTTTTATTTTATACAGTTCGTCCCAGAAAAGCCACACCGGACCGCGTCCGTGTTGAGCGTGTCTTCCGGGAGGCGGAGGAACGTAATCATCCGGAAATGGGATATAAGTCGCGTGAATTTCCGAGTAATGGATCTTTGTTGGGCCGGCATCCATTTTTGTGTACGTTTGGGAAATTGAATAATCAAGATATTTTCTTGGTGGTGGACGGTAAATATAGAATGGATCTAATTTGTCTTCTTTTTGGGTTTTTATGATATCACAAACTTTTCTGTTTGGTGCATGAAATCGATCCATTAAATCATCTTTTAGGAGCTTATCACGCGTTGACGATTTTCGTACGTGTGCCATTTTTAAAAAGTTACTTTTGAGAATTTAATGGGTGTGATGAAATTACGATGAGTAAAAATGTCAAAAAAAATGTTATGATTGATTTTTTTTAACCTACTCGATTTAAACTTAATAAAATTAAAAATTAACTTACTCGCTTGATGTGCTATCTTTTTGCTGATGCGCAGTTGTATTTTATGCTCATATCTGTAGACAGCTTGTAATTTCTCAATTTTAGCTTTCAGTATTTCATCCATAAACACCCAAACTGGTCCTCGCCCGTGTTGGGGATGTTTTCGTTTCTTTTTTACTGGAAACACATAATCAGGCGGAAATCGTTCGTATTCAGCTCTTATAAAAGAATAATGTATTTTATAAGGTCCACAATCCATTTTGGCTTCGGTTTGAGAGATGTTGTAATCTAAATATTCTCTGCTTGTTTTCGGTCGATACGGATAGAATGGGTCGACTATTTCTTCTTTTCTCGTGGGGATTATAGTGCAAATTTTTCTATCCGGTGGATAAAATCTGTCCATAAAATCATCTTTCGGTGTTTTGCCATCATCTTTTTTCCCCTTTTTTCCCGTCTTTCCGGTACACGTACTTTTACTAGTTATCGACATGATTTTACAGAAATCTTTGCAATGTACAAAGAATTTTTGAATAAATTTCAATATTATTTAATATAAAATTTAGTGGCGTTTCATGTGCCAAACGGCCAAGCTGAAAACTAATTGGATAACTTGATTATTACAGTAAATACAGTAAAACCTCGATATAACGGATTAATACGACGTAGGAAGTTATATGAAAAATTTTTAATTTGCGCTTTAAACTATTTCAATGAATAATTTTAATGCATTTAAGAGGACTGCTACATCCCGGGAAGGGGTCATGAAACCTGGGAGCGTCCTTAGATGCCCTTTGCTGAGGCACAAAACCTCTTTGGTTTTGTTTTGCAACGGAGTTATCATGCTCTTCGCTTGTCTGTGACCTGGAAATTCTTTCCAGCGTAAGGCTACCTTTGAGGCCTTCCAACTGTTACTTGATTACTTGTTTTATGTGGTTTTTTGTAGTCCACAACCGGGTTGGAGTCCAATGAAGGGCGTTTTCACCTTTTCACCTGCCTCTTTGACCAGCTTGTCCGCCTGATCATTGCTCTCAATGTCTCTGTGACCTGGAACACACCATAGAGTAACATAATTGCCCCTATCGAGTTTTCTCAGGTTGCTGGTACACTCTCTGATCAGTGCGGAGTCACACTGTAATAATTCGGAAATTATTTAATGGTTTTGGGAATAAACCATACGAATTGTATATTCCTGGCGTGCAGCCTTTTT